TATTATACAGTCAAGATATATTTAACTGTTTCATTGGAAGTCTACCTTTTATTAGTAGAGATGCATACTGTAACATAATGTTTTTTATTCCAACCATCTGCTGATATGACAATAAAATGAAAGTCAAAAATACTATGCAAATAGTTCTTTCATTTCTCATTATCTCTGCCACTTAAGGTAGTACTGATATGGAAAACTGAGATGATGTCACTGGACTATTGACACAAAATCACACTGCTTACTGCTTTCTATGTAAATTCTCCTTTCTAGGTTAGCTCCACATATTTGAAGCTTATCAATCACTTTACTAAGAGAGAAGACAAACCTGCACATTTTTCACTAATAGTGAATGCTGGAGTTCTAATGGGTATTACAGCTGTACCATAAACATGAAATCTACACACAATAGTATTAACTTTCCAAATAACTTACATGAAAATCATATACTTGTTTTTGTTTTTCATTTCTTTGAGTACAGGATATACATCGACTTTCTGAAAACACTGCAGAGTTGTAAATAATGTATGAAATAAAAAAAAAAATCTCAGTTCATTGCCCAGAGAATACTGTATTGTTTGCGATATACTACATCTGTGCTAGCAAACAACAGAACAGACCAGGAAACAAAATCTCAAGCTAAAACCTTCCCTAGTGGAAAGGGAAAATGCCATTCCGGATGCCAAAAGTCCCTCAAATAAACAGTTCAAATCCTTAGACTACTTTCATGTACTGGATAAAAATGAAATCTTAAAAATCAGAATGATCTGTTCTCTGAGTAAATCACCAAGAAGCTTGGAAAACCAATTAATTACTTAATGTTATTCTAGAGACAGCCACTAACTTCTGTGTACTTCTCTGCCTTACAGGGAGTATTTGCAAAGTCTGATGAGAAGATATGCAAAGCTGAAGCCAAATGCTGTCATTGTCACTTATTTTCTCTGGCAACATTTAGGAATGGTGCCCTCTAAGTAGCTATGTAGGAGTGGAACAAACTGCAATTTGAGGTAAGAATGACAAAGAGTAGGCAGTCAAATGCAAGCACAATGGGCTTAATGGACTAATGGTATACAGTTATTATGTTTCTTTTATAATAAAGTTGGCATTTTCTTTCACTTGTCAAACCTAAACATTACTGAATAGAAAGATCAAGTGAAGGTAACATACATAGGACATTTAACTTTGCTCATAAAATAAACTCAGCTTAATGGAATTTCATTTATAGTAAGGGAGGATAAAATTTCTATTTCTGTCATTTCTCAAATTCCAAACTCCAGAGATACCTTTAGGTACAATATATTGAAAAGGATTTCCTGCAGATTCAATTACTTTATAATTGTTATTCACCAAGCAGTTATTAAGAGCATATATACTAGATGCTAAAAGTAAATTGCAATCTTTTATTAGCAAAATGCAATTTTAATACTTACCAAATTTTAACTTTGTATCATCTATATCTTTTAGAGTTGACGCCGAGCAGAACATTAAAAGTTTTCTAGGAATTGGTGAGATAATTCTATGAGTTATAAGTATCTGGGCTTTTAGTTTTGCAAATATAAAACATAACAATGAATTGTTCAGGAATTTGAATCCCAAAACATTACTAGGAAAATTAAGTTATCAATTGTTTGCCTGCCAGTCTGCCAGCCAATCTGTTTTCCTTCGTTCCTTCCTTTACTTCCTTTACTTCCTTTTCTTCCTTACTCCTTGTATCCCTCCTTCCTTTCTTTTCTCTTTCCTGTATTCTTTCATCCCCTCCCCTAACTTTAACAGACATAAAGTAAAGAGTAAGGCTCAAATTCTAATACACAGAAGTAGTATATCCCTGAAACTTTAACAGAACATAGGAGGGGAAGTGGCAGAAGGAAATGCATTATTTACAGGTGAATCTGGCTGTCTGGCCACTGGGGAAGCACTTGGGATTCTACTCCATAGGAAGCACAGCTTATGATTTCTTAATTCTGTTTAGGAAAATACTTAATAATATATCAATGAATTCACATGAGACAAAAGCTAATTTAATATAATACAGTTAGAACAAGAAATAGCTTTAGTTGTGAAAGCATGAAATTTTCAGAAAAAAAAGTGATGTACTTATGATCGTCTAATGAATACCTTGTTGGCATTTGTCATTACAAATGCACAGGATGTCTGCTCCTGTTAGCCTGGTATCATGCATTTGACATATAGGGTCCCAACCATTTATTCATGAATTGAAGGTTTGTAAATAAAACAGATGCTTCTGTGAGCTTAGCTCCCAATATTAGCATGTCTGAGAATTTCTGACAGAGACTTAAAACTATCCAGAGAAATTTACTGCTGCATAAAAATCGCTTGCTCTCATTTATCCCCTGTTTAACATCCAAAGGAAAACTACTCTATTCATATTTTCATAGAAATCAACTGAAATTGACCTTATCTCACACTGTCCTACTGAGTTCACCAATGGGAAAAAAAAGTGCAGCAGGGTTGATTATATTATGTTAAGAAAATAGGCAAGCCAGAGTGATTGGAATTTCTATAAGGAACATCATCAGTGCTTGAATAGAACAATTTTGCATATAAACAGGACGTAGATGGCCTTTGTTCAATTTGTTCTCTAGTTTTTGAAAAGCTATCAAGGAAGGACAACATAGCAATCTTCTGTTTCCAGCTTCCTTAATGCAAATCTGGATATTATTAATCAGTACATATATATGTCTATTCCCAAAGAAAAATTAATTTTCATCAAGAAATAAAATAAAAAAGAAATTCAAAAAACTGCATAACTAAAACAAATACACATTCCATAGACTCATAAGAAATAATGTAGTCTGAAAAATCAATCATTTTGAAAAGCAACAAAACAAAATCAACATGATTGATTTAAGGGCCTATATAGTAACTGTGTAACAGAGACTATCATATCCAGTAACATCTTATTAACTTCATGGCAATGGAAATTTCTATTTTCCTTCCTGTTGTTTATCTTGCTTTGTGGCTTTTCATTTAAGGGGATGTATGGTGACTGTGTAATGGAAAGTATCATATCCAGATGTGAGAATACAATGCAATATACAATTCCAGATCAAAGATGAACTCCCAATGAAACCATTAAATATATCTTGACAATGGGTACTGGAGTCTCTGCCATTGTCCATGCCTGCAATAATGGACATAAGACTGTTTATGAGGGACTATACTATTGTAATAACATAAGGGAAATCAATGGGGGAGGAGGGAATTTAGGAAGGGGGTCAGGGAAATGAGGGCCTATAGAACTATATCATAAAATGATGATAATAACAAAAAATTTTAAAGAAAAAAAATCAATCATGTTTTAGAACTCAGTGTAAACTGGGTTTCTTCCCCTTTCTCATCACCAGACTCAGTATGTCTGTTAAAATTGTTTCTTATCTTAAAATGGTAAAATTCCACATTAGGTGGCTATGAGTTACTTGACACGCAAAGAATGAGAACGCACACCGTTGATGACAAAGCGCAAGGCATGCTACTGCGATTTTAGCTGAGTTGCACAGAATATGCTCAATAAATGCAGCAGAATACAGGGAGGAAACTTCATATTTGGAAGTAAAATTTAAAACAATAGTTACGTTGGGAAACTCAATTCAAAACCTCTTAGTGTCTATAGTTTACTGTCAGACACTCTAACACAAATACATGTTTCATTCTACTTTAATTACTTATGACTCATTCAAATCTCAACATTTAAAGTGTGGAAGGATTCTTCAATCTTTAATCCATTAGAAGCTGACTGTTGATCCACATGTGTCTGCCAAAAATGTTCAGGGGTCAAACACACTGATGGACTACTGACAATCATCATTTTACCTAACATTCTATAGCATGTGTTCCTGCTGACTTCCCCATTCTGAAATTCTCTCTAGTCTTGGTCATTTAGGTACTGTTTTAATACTTTTTAACACCTTTCTCTCTTTTTCTAATCATTTTTTTCCCCTTTCAGTATACTTTGATTCATCTTTACCTCTTAAGCGCTGGAACTGCCATCTTTACTTACCATCTTTACCATCTTTTACTTCTCATTAAACATCTTCCCAGAGAATCCAAAGATTTCAATAACCATATATGCACAGATGTCCTTCAAATCTGTTACCTTCAGCTTCAACCATACATTTGTGTGTGTGTCCATATAATCATGTTACAAGAAACTTAAAAGTCCTGCTGGTCCTTAGCTGCAATAAACATTTCGTAATTTCCACTGCATTTTTTCATATTTCCATGACATAAATTTGTGATTTTCCTTTATACAAAATGTCTCTTCTTTTTATTCTCCCTAAAATTATGACTTATTCCTGAAAACACAGCTCAAATGTCACTTTACTCATGAAAACATTCTTCATTTTTTTAGCTCTTTCTGTAAACTTACATCATATCATACATACTGTGTATATTTATCAGGAGAATCTACATTCTTGAGGGTAATATCCATGTCCATGTCCTATCCATCTTTGCACTCCAGCATCCTAGATAAACTGTCTGCTCCTTAAGATCTGATCAATGGATATCATTTACATAAAACCAATTCTGTCATTTATTTTCCTGTATTACTTTTTTAAAACAAGATTTTGATTATACATTATACTACAAAGGATGTGTCACAAAATGCATGGGGTTTAAGTGGATTGCTGTGACTTTTTTTCAAAGATGTATTTATTTTTATTGGAAAGGCAGAATCACAATGAGAAGGAGAGACAGGGAGAAAGATCTTCCATTCTCGGATTCATTTCCCAAGTGGCTGCAAAGTCCAGAGCCGAGTCAATCCGAAGCCAGGACTCATGAGCCTCTTTCAGTTCTCCCATGTGGGTACAGCATGCAAAGTTTAGGCCATCCTCTGCTACTTTCCCAGGTCATAGGCAGGGAGCTGAATGGGAAGTGGAACATCCAGGACATAAATTGGTACCCATATGGGATACTGGTGCTTGCAAGGGAAAAACTTGCTAACTGAGCCATCACGCTGAGTCCTGGCTGCTGTGATTCTAATGTTTACCAAATAGAGACTCATCAATCTCATGGGGAAGAATTCATTCTAAGGGAGAAAGAAGTAATAAGCAACATGGAAGCAATGATCTAGTAATAATAAAACAAAGCTAATGCAAAACCTCAGCAGATCTCAGTCACCCAGGAAAGATCATGCGTGGGGTCTGTCATGGGTTGGTCTTTCGATGATGCATAACAGAGCCAAATTTACAGAGTTTGGGAAGGTTATAATTTACAGCAAATTAAAAAATTTACATTCTCTTAAAATACCCGTAAGACTCTGAGGCTTAAGCAGTACTGTTCACTACACTACTGTAAGAGCTATGCTAAAAGAGAGATATTCATTCTCCCCCTTCAGCCCCACACACTTTGCCAATGGCCATTGTCCAGTTCCAGCATTTGGAAGGTCTGTACTAGAAACCTGATCAACAGGGAAATCACTGATTTTTACTTTTTATTCCGACAATAACTGTCATTACTGAAAGTTACTACCTTTCTATCTTCTTAATAGTTCACCTTCCTTTGCTTTAAAGAAAATAACAGTGAGAATCCTCCTCTTACAAGTGTTCCTTGTCTACCTTCCTTACTAACTCTTCATTTAGCCCGTCTAAATAGCAGCGTTTTCAGATTCTGTTTTTGACTCCTTTTTCTCTTAATAATCCCTCTAGGAAAAGCGTCTATTCCATGCTACAACCAGAACACTCAATAACCCCAGAAATTTATCAAGAAATCTACACCCATACTTCCAAGAACCTTCTGGATATCATGATGTGCATGCTCTGCTACCACATTCAGATTAACTTGTTCTGCACAGAATTCATTTTCTTCTATCAAAATTACTGCTTTTCCTGATTAAATGAGTCAACTTTTTGTTACTTTAAGCAAGTTACTGTGAGGAGCAAATCAGAAAGGGAAAAGAAGGTTTATTTTGGCTTGTAGTTTCGAAGTTCGTAGTACAAAGTGGAACAGCCACATATGTGTGTCATCTGGAGGAGACTGACAATACTGGAACATACATGGAGGTACATGTTCATGGCCAGTAAGGAGAGATGCAGGATACCCACTCTTTCTCTATTGTTTATGTGGTCTCTCCCTCTCCTGTCAAATTGTTCATAGGGCTGTATTCTCGCACCTAATTCATTCCAACTGCTTCATAAAACTCCAACCTTCAGACGACATAATTTGATCAAGCCTTCACCTTGATCTAACAAACATTAATCCATGTACCGTTAATTTAAAATTTGGATATTTAGCATTCAGATGAGTTTGTGAAACCAAATCTTGTTCAACCTACAATACTGGCATTCCTGGTTTAGCAACCTCATTACTCCTCCAAGCTAGTCAAACTCAAAATTCTATGGTTTTCTTCGACTTCTTGATGCTTTTCTCCCTGTAAATCATCTTCTTTGAAAATGTGCCAGAGGATTCCTAGTTCATTATTTCCATGTCTGTAAAGTGAGTGACCTAACCCAAAATTGGATTACTGTTCTTCCCTAGCTTAAACACCTCAATAGATCCCCAACGCCGAAGAATTGTGTTCACACCTAAGTGTCTCATTTAAGCAGTCAATGAGGTGGTGTGAATGTATTTTTACAGAGTTATCTCCATAATTTAATGTTATGTATCCTATTTTCTTCCTTACTGCACTGTCATTTTTGAGAAACATTTTGCACTTTCTCAACTCTATTTTTTTTCTTAATGATATTTAATTTGACTAGAATGCTCTTTCCTCACCTCTAACCACCACTGCTGAAATCCCTGCTCATCCTTCAAAGCTATTTCTGCTGTCATGATTTTTCTGACATATCAAAAATGGCATACTGTCTCTCTCCTCTAAACTCACAGTATGTTCTTTGCATCTCTTATATGATACTTTCTGCCTTAATCTGTAGACTTGCCATAATTTCTTATCTTTCCTAAAAAACCTAAAGATCTTACAAATAATAAAATCTTAAGTTTTAAATCTTCTATCAGGTCTAGGATGAAACAGATGTATATAAATGAATGAATGTTTGGGCCTCATTTCCTAATGTTTGAGGTTTACATCTGCAGAGCCTATGATTGTATGAATATGCAGTCAATATATATCATTACAAGCAAAATGGCTATTACCTCTATGCCTTCTGAATGGTCAGGCTTTTTGGCACATGAGTTAATATTTTCACTATCACCCATGATATGAGGATCTCCCTTTGAAAGTATTTTGGCACTTACTAACTGAAACAGCACACCCAACCATATGTGAGAGAGGCAGTATTTGGGGACTCATTCTGAGTTCCCTAATGTGGTGGCTTTTGGGGAGGTGACACAGGCTCAGTATAAGAGATTGCTAATTTAGGCAATTGACAATATCACTTACCAACATTTTGAGTTTTTAATGAAGAACAAAGACTATCGCCTCAGTTTGTTTAAACATGGGATTTAAAATGTTGCACTAAGAAGCACATAGCAGAGCTCTGTATTTTACTTACAGTAATTCCCATCTGTAAATGAAGATAATAGAGAAGGCAAGCAAAACATTGCATCCTTCCTGTTTGTAGTTAACTCTGATTACAGATTGCTTGGGACTATTTCTTATTCTACTTTACTTGGGGGGAAAACGGCCTTTTTTGTATTTTGACTTTTCTGGTTTTGTGTTATCATGTTGAAATAGAGATCACCGGAAAGGAATGAGGGCATCAGTGCTATACAGGGAAAGCTGAGCAATACCAAGAGAACAGGATCCTGGAAAGGTACCCAATTAGATGCCCAAGAAAGTGACAACAACAGAGAATCAGCAAGAAAAGATGATCTAGCTAAGAAAGGATGAAACAAAGAAGAAACCTAGAAAATTCTCCACTATATCTGTTTCTGGAGTTTTGGGCACATTTGTAAACTTGCTGCCTTCTGGCCCCTCTCTTCTGCTTCCAAGTCTTCTGCTGGTGCTAACAGTGCTTTAATGATCCTAGCCACATCCATCTAGTTTCTTTCAACCTCTGAATATATTCTTTGGCTGCTGCCACTTATGATGATTGCTACACCCTAAAGGGGTTGATATTTCAGACCCCATATGTTTACAGAGGCACACTAGGCACAAAACAAAAGAGATCCTGATTTAGACTACGTGGAGTTAGTGCTATCAAATGATGCAGTTTGTGAGTCTCATTGTTTCGCAGTTGCCAACACTATATCCCGATGATTACAAAACTCACAGAAACCCTACAGAATGAATTCTCTCTAAAATCAAGTCAAAGTCTGAGACTTATCAGACAGGGGACTTAGCAAATGTGTATTTAAAAAAATATATAAGCAGACAGGGAAGATTATGGCAGCCATTTATAGTCTCGAATAATATGCTTCCCTTATCAGCTGCCTAACAGAGAACTGAATTGATGCAAAATTTTTTGAGCTCACCTTTTATTGATTATTATTGCTCTGATAGGACAAGTAAGAGCAGTTAAGGTTTTATTGTCCTTAAGAGGTGGTAGGGGCCTCCGATAATGCAGCCGAACATTCTCATTTTGTAGACAAAAGACAGGAGTAGGTAGAATGGCTGCCTCATAGGTCAGTTCTGTTCTTAGCAATTCAGCCATGCAGTATTAGCTTACATTAATATTAACACACAAGCACAGATTTTCCTTTCTTTCCTCTACTCTTCCACTCTTTTTGCAGATCATTTTCAATGTCTTCATGCATAGAAAACAGTTTCAAACTCCAACCAAAACGCTACCTTTCCTGTAATCAAATCTTACCTTCAGGCTAATCTCCCCAGGACTGTCCATGAGCAGCCACAGTATAATGTTTATCCATTACCCATCAGGATTTACTCAAATGTGAAAAAAGATGAATGTAACTTAACATCGTCTTCTGCCATAAATTTCATCATCATCAAAAGCTTTCCCAGACATCTCTACATGGGGTCCCATTACTTTCACTGGCTTGTTGGAATACAATTATTTTGAGAGCTAACAATTTTTATTCCAGTGGTATAGGAAAACTTCCAGTGCAGATACAGAATATTTTTTGAATTATAGGCTATTCATGGCAAAGTTTGATATTCTAAATTAAGTAGAGTTCACATATTAACTACCGATTCTTTATTTTTTTAACACATTTATTTGAGGGGCCAGTTTTGCAGCATAGTGTGTAATGCTACTGTCTGTTATGCTGACATTCCCTATGAGTCTTGGTTCAAGTCCTGGCTGCTCCATTTCAGATATGATGTCCGTCTTACATGACAGGGAAAGCAGTAGCAGATGGCCTAGCTACTTGGGTCCCCGGCTACCCATGTGGGAAACCTGGATGAAACCTGCAATCATTTGCAGCGGGTACAACTGAATGGGGCTTATCTGTCTCTACTATTCTCTCTGTCAAACTGTTTTATATAAATAAATAAATTTTTAAAATATTTGAGATAAAGAGAGAGAGAGAAAACTCAGTCTCCCACTCACTATTCATTGCCCCAGGGTCTGCAATGGCAGGGGTACTGAAGCCAAGATCCAAGAATTCAATTCAGTGGAACCCAACCATTTGAGTCATTACCGCTGCATCCTAAGGGGATGCCTTAGCACAAAGCCTGATTCAACAGCCACACTAGGTATGGGAAGTAGGTATCTCAACTCAGTCTTATCTACTAGGCCAAATGTCTACCTCAAATTTCTTTGCTCATTTTTCTACATAGCCTTGATCAGATGAAAGGACATTTAAAATTAACCAAACTAACTTATTTTCCAATTCAAGAAAGATATGAACTAAAAATATAAAACCTTATTTAGAGGTGGTAGATAGCTAAGCATTACTGGGTTTTCCTGATAGAAGTCAAGGGGAACAAACAGATAAAGTGGACAACTTTCTAGTTATACTTAAGTGAGGAAAATTATTTTTGACTCTTAAATGTTTTACGCTTTTTTTCTTTTGCAAGATAAATTTAGTACTAGAGTTTTATCTGTTACTGATGAAATATACCCAAAAGACATCATTCAATACTTTCGAATTTGGAAATGTGTTTCTCCTCCCTTTATCAACATGAGTAATATCGAACAGAGTATATTGTAAAATCAAAATGGCCTCTAGGAACAAGCATTATCTCAATGTCCTTACCTGTGAAAAAATAATGTGATATTTTTAGGGTCAATTACTTCTAATGATTTAATTACATTTATAGTTTTATACAACCTTCCACCCATACCACATGCTCTTAAAATAACAATTAAAAATATTTAATATTAAACACAGCAGGATCACTTGGTTCCAGTTTTTTTGCATTCTGTAGTAAGCTGAAATTCACAGTCATGTAGATAAAGACGCCTACATGAGCTGAGACCAACTGTTAAAAAAAAGTCTTCATGCAGAAGTTTCATGGATATGTGGGGCAGGGTGGGTGTATTCAGTTCTTCACATTCACATTTTATAAAACCATGAGAACTGGAATGTGACTTACCTGGATTCCTTGGAATCCGCTTTCTCCGGTCTCGGAATGCTGCACCTGACTGTAGGGCTTCTAGAAGATTATCCATCACGCCCGTCTCATCACCCTCTGGAGGAAGGAAGAAATCAGAATTAATCTTGGAACAATTAAAGTTAAACTACAGGAAAATAAAGGGAAAAACTCCTGTCAGATTTACATAATACTCTTAAATTAAAGACATATATCTGTTTTAGCATAATGGATCCTGTCAGTTTCTGGCACCACAGACTACTTCACTTATTACGCACCATTAAGCAAAATTCATGCCAATCCCACTGTTCTTTCAACTTAAAGACCTTGTCTTTTGTATTATTGATGACACGCTCTGTATGCAAATAAACAGAGGCTGATCAGCTACTGCTGTCTTCCTGTTAAGATTTTTATAAGATATTCCTAAGCAAGAAACCACTGACCCAGCTTAATGCAATCAATATGCGGGGCGTGATTTGATGAAGCAGAGTTACACAAGGTTAAATACTGATTTTATTAATACTTTCGGCATTCAACCATCATCTGCGATTATCTCAAAAGAGACTATTTGCAAAACACATTTGCATTCAATTCCTACCTAGTCCATGTCCTTTACTCATTTTGAAATGCTGACATTGTGTAAAAGAAAAAAGGTGACCACATCATTTGAAAGGCCATGTTTCACATTTGAGAGATATCAGCCAGAGTCTCATTTCCTTTTTAGAATGCTGTTGTCTGCCTCAACTTTTCCTATGGGAAAGAACTGTTAAGAAGTCATGATTGAAGTACTCAAAAGATGTTCATGGAAATTCTTAACCATAACAGCATTTAAAACATTTCACCCTACTCTCATCTTTGACAACTCTGGCCATCAAAAACACTTTTAAAATTTGTTAGAGCATTTGTCTCAAAATGTCAATTGTCAGAAATTCTAAACTACACTGTGGATACTCTACAGAGAGCTGAGGCTTTTCTTCCCAACCAGCTTAGTTCAAGAAAAGGACCCTAACGCTAGGCGACTGTTCTGAGTGGTAGCTAAACATGCCTGTGCATCTGAGGTAAAGGACATTCATAGGCAGGAAGGTTAAGGGAAGATGGCAGGGACAAGAGCGAAAGACACTGTTTCTGATGCTCTTCCAAGGTTAAATTGAAATCTCTGTTAAAAGAACGAACTACAGGGTATCAAGATCCCAGAAAAAAATTCTCTCATGAGACAAGAAAAAGCTAAACACTTTTTGATTATGCTCTTCAGTTGACTTGAGACTTGCTCAATGTCTCAATAAATTATTCTTTTAAAATAAACTCTCTAGGACAGGATGTAGAATGAAAAAAAAAAAAAACAAAAGTCACCACAGGTCCAACATCTAGGAATAGCAAAAAAGGAAAAGCAAAAAGAAAGCAAAGTGCTGGTGACTAAATTGGGAAAGAGGACTGTGGACTTTTAATATTCATTAAGGTCACAAAAACATCTGAACCATTCACCTGTTCTTTTTTAATAGAAAAAAAAAAAGAGGAACTGCAGGTAGTTGTGCATGGCTAGAATGTTGCTGAAAGAATTAGAATTCTATGCACTAGACACTTTCCATTTGTTATATCTTTTATTCCTCACAATCACACCCTGAGATCCATCAGTAGTTAGAAATACTGAAACTTAGATATTGTACATCTGGCATGTAGGCATACACATCTGGTATATCTGAGTAGGAATCCAGATCCACATGACACAAAGACTTGCACACTTTGGATGGTACCTTGCAAAAGTTGAAATGGGCTAGGCACGGTCCAAATGAAAAAAACCATAATAAGCTAGAACTGTCCAACAGATAGCTAGCAGAGGCCACAGAGGTGAGTCACACAATAATTTTTAATAATCCAGTAGCTACAGTGAAAGAAAGCAAGTGAAATCAATTGTAGCATATTAAGTAAATATTTAACCCAATATATAAAAATTGAATGATATATAGTCTAGTAGACTAAATTTTTATAAATTTACTATACATGTAACTCTATACATATCAATTAGATTAGCTTTATTTTTAGACACTCAATAGCCCCACATGGCTCACGGCTTTGCATTAGGTCATAGATATAACCTCTCACCTTTATATTTCAGAGAGACTTTTCAGGCAGCATTGTGAAGTACTCAAAGGATTGCAAGATCAGAAGCTGAACAAATTTTTAGGGTGTGATATAATTGTCTAAATAACAGATAAAGCCTGAGATAATGAGAGAATGGAGAGGATAGATACTTTGAATACAGTCCATAGGGCTTGGAGGTTGGGGAAGAGAAGGAAGTGAAATAAGTAAGATGAGGTATTTACAGGATCAGGGATAAATACATTTGAGAATATATGATGCTACATTTGAGATTTCTATTGAATGTCTAATTAAAACTGGCTGGCAAGCTATTTGAAACATTGGTCTAGAGCCAAGGGGTGATTCTGGGCTACAGCTAAAGAATAAATTGTCATTGGAAGATAGGATTTGAGTATACTAATATGATGGGCATGCCTAACATACTAATATATAACATATTATGTAATTATGTATATATTTATATATATGTAATTTCTTATGGCTTAATAATCACTGATTCATAAATGCATCTCAGTCAACCCTCCTGGCATCTCCATAAAACAATATAATCTTCTTGCAACTGAGTTTATCAATTGTAAGGAATGGTACTCTTTCAAAATATTCCAGGCTCCATTCAACCTGCCCAAATTCCCAGTCACTTGGGTTCCTCTTTGAAAAAAAAAATGTGATTCATCTCTTCTCATTCTGGCACATAATAAAGAATAAAGGAATTTTAACCAATTTTTTCAAACGCCATTGGAAAATTGCATATAATTGCACTGAGAGTATTAGAAGAAGAAGGATTAGGGGTTCTGAGTGCCACTTTGAGTCCTAGCTGCTCTTCTTCAGGTCCCAGCTAATATTCCTGGGAAAGCAGCAGATGGCTCAAGTGCTTGGGTCTCTGCACCAACATGGGAGACCTTGATGAAGTCCCAAGCTTCTGGTTTCAGCCTGACCTAGCTGCAGCCATTATGACTATGTAGAGAATAAACCAACAGGTGGTTTACTTGCTTTCTGCTATCTCTCTGTAACTCTGCCTTTCAAACAAATAATTTTTTCCAAAAAAATGAATGAAAATAGAAGAGAAAGAGAGAGCAGATACAATTTATGGTCTACAATATGATGTTTTAATTAATGTATACATTGTGGAATACCTAAAATAAATACTTTACTTATACAGTACCTCACTCATTTATCATTTATTATCGTAAAAACGTTTAAAATCTATCATCTTAGCAATTTTCAAATACTCATTGCATTGTTATTCATGGTAACCACTATGCATTTTATGTTCAGCCTCTTGAATGTATCTTTCTGCCCTGAAGTTTTGTGTCCTTTCACTCTATTGTTCCATTCTTCCAGTCCTCAGGTCACAGGAAGTCAGGAGAAGCAGAATCACAAAGAAAACAAGGAAGGAATCTTTAGTGAAAAAGAAGTAGAAGCAGGAGAGAATACCAACACAAGTGAATTTCACATATCCTTATTAAAATTATGAAGACTACCAAAAAACCAAATAAATGCAAATAAATGAAAAGTACAGACATGCATTTATGGTTTACATAAATAACAAGAAAATGTTAAATTTATAATAAGGATACTATGATTGTAGATTCATTAAAATTCTCTAGTGTTACTTCATTGTTATTGGACTAAAAAGGTAGAAAAATATGACAAAGCAGATAGGAAATAAAAACAAACACCTTTGCTTAATTTAATGGTTATACCTAACATTATCTATCAAAGTATTATTATTTTGGATCAGTGTTGAGCAAAGATTTTCATTACCATTCCCTTACACTCTGTGAGTCTTGACAGATATTTTTGTTTCCTAATGCCCTCAAATGTTAAAGTTTAAAGCTGTAAACACATTTTATAGCTGTTTGAGTGTGTTAGCTCTTTGGAGGGCTACAAACCATTGTAGTATCTGAGGAATTTTTCTCAATCTGCTTTGAAAGAAACAATATTCACCTCCTAGGATGAATATCATCATTATCTGATGGGAATTCTGTTTTTAAAAATAAAAAAAAACTCTTTGTAAACAGTCCTTATATATGCAATAAGGAAAAGAAACATAGGCTGCAGTCTCCAATTATGTTTTCATTTGCTCTAAGATAACTTTCTAAAAAGCTGATTTTTTTTTCATTTGTTTTCTGTGGGTTTTTTTAAAGATTTATTTTAAAAAAAGATTTATTTTTTATTGGAAAGGCAGATTTACAGAGAGAAGAAGACACAAAGATTTTCCATCTACTAGTTCACTCCCCAAATGGCTGCAACTGCTGGAACTGAGTCAATCTGAAACCAGGAGCCAGGAGTCTCTTCTGGGTCTCCCAAGCAGGTGCAAGGTCTCAAGGCTTGGGCCATCCTCTGCTGTTTGGATTGGAAGTGAAGCACCTGGGACAAACTAGCACATATAGAATACCAGCACTTTGAGGTGGAGGACAAACCAGTTGAGCGAACATGTGCCCCTCCTCCACCCTGAGCTGAGTGATTTTTGTAAAATGTCTAACCCTACTGAAGCAGAGCTTTATGAATATAAACATAATAGATTTATGCTTCAGCTAGTCTTCCTAAAACAAAATAGAAGTCAACATGATAATTTGAAAGGAACTATTCTTGAATGAATATCAGTGAAATTTTAATAGTGTAATGTTGACATTTCATTCACAATTTCTAAATTCATACTTCCATGCATGCATATTAAGATGTGGCTAACAGGAATGAGTAGCTTTTCCCTTTGTCTATGAGTTCTTATTTAAAGAAAATAAAATCTTCCAGCTGTTTTTCATTGAAAAAAAAAGCACTGAATATATATGGGGGAAAAAATGTGTTTTCTTACACATACAATACCTACTTTACTAAATGAAAGAATACCGAGGGGAAATTTGGTAGTGATTTTTAGCCATTAAAATGATAATGATAAATATGTGCATGTCTCAGAACTAAACTTTCTAATATTTCATCTTGAAACGAGTCACAGATTTGTACTAAGGAGTTAGGCAGACTGCATGTAGTCTGTGGCCTCT